TGCTACATCATTAAAGTCCCTTCACAATATGCTTTTATTTTTATGAGAGAGATTCCTGAGAATAAAGTGTCAAATCTGTGAAAAGATATAATCCAAATCCTACACAAACAAATAAAACAACAGATTAGAAAAGTCATATATTTCAACCTCTAACTGAGAGCCTCTTCAACAGTTAGAGGTTGAAATATACAGCCCTCATAATCTGTTGTATTTCTGTCTTCTTGTGAGTTTTGAATTACATTCACTGAATGTTTAGAGATATACAGGCAAACAACATTTACAGAAATACTGATCACTGAGAAAAGAAGAACAATTATGGGTTCCTGAACAGTTTCATAACCCACTCAGTTTTGGCATCCTGTTATCTTCTGTTCTTTCTGGAGCCCAATAAGATTTTTTTAAACATTTCCTACTGACATCTTGAACTGATCTTCTCATGATTGAGAAACATGGTACAGTATGAGCAAAGGAATTATACACTATTAATTCAAGAGGTTTAGTAAATAAAACTTACGCTACCCAGCTGCTGTTGAGGCAATGTCCTTCCAGACCGACTACTGTTCTCAAGTAAACCTCCACCACAGACTGCATCTGCAAATAATACTGACTTTATTAATACTTTAGGACCCAAGGCTAAAGAACTGGGTAATATGGTAAGTCAAACTACTCTCACTTGAAACTTTTCAAGTGTCACAATTATCAAGCTGTAATAAAATGAAACTCAGATTTCTTTTTTGCTTGGTATTTATTACAGTTAACAGTAGTCTTCATAGTTAATTTATTGCCCCACTAATGGCAAGCCAAGTACAGTATCTATTACATGTAAAGGAAAAAATCAATAGGAGACAATTCAAATTCTAAATTATTTATTTACAAAATACATTATAGTAAAATCCCCAATTTTATATGGTTACATTCCTAGAGGTCCAGCAAATTTAGAATTTAGAATCCATGAATAATATTTTTTTTAATGCACCAGCCGTCTCCCACCGAGGTAGGGTGACCCAAAAAAGAAGAAACTTTCACCATCACTTTTGCCAGAGGCATGCCAATACTACAGTTCAAAACTGCAAATATCTCCACTCATCCTTCGGAGGCAGTGTATGTCCCACTTCCAGGACTCAATTCTCACTGAATCTCTCCATAAATGTTACCTTACTCACACTCCAACAACACGTCAAGTCATAAAAACCACTTTCCTCCACTCACTCCTATCTAATATGCCCATGAAAGCTTACTGGATGTCTCAGCTCCTTGCACTCCCTCCAACCTTCCTAGGATGACCCCTACCCCACTTTCCCTCCACTACAGATTTATACACCCTCCAAGTCATCCTATTTTGTTCCATCCTCTTTATATGTCCAAACCACCTCAACAACTCCTCTTCAGCCCTGTGAATATTACTTTTAGTAATCCTGAACCTCCTTTTAATCTCCAAGCTATGAATTCTCTGCGTAATATTCACAATACGCATTGCCCTCAGATATGACATATCTACTGCCTCCAGCCTTCTCCTTGCTGCAACATTCACAACACATGCTTCACACCCACTATATTCTCATACATTCCTCTTTTTGTCTCCATGGATAATGTTCTTTGTCTCCACAGATGCCTCACTGTAGGTTCACCTTGTCTTTTATAGACCCAACCACCAACAAGTCCACTCCCAAATACAGCATCTCCTCACTTAATGATGGAGTTCCATTCCCGAGACCACGTTGTTAAACGAATTTGTCATTAAGTGAGGAGCATACTATAATGGTAGTGAGTTTGTGTCAGCCATCTTTGATATTGTTTTATTGTCACCTTTGCACCATTTATAAAATTTCTGGTATATTTTTAAATGTTTATACAGTAATGTACTGTATATTGAAATAAACAGAATAGAGGAAATCAGCTCTAATATACATTATTTAGGTATGAATACTGGTCAGAGAGCCCGTCGTAAGTCCAAGGCATTGGTAAACGAGCACGTCGCTAAGTAAGAAAGGCTGTATATGAACACACTCACTTCCTCCATACTCCCTCCATCCAACCTGATATCCAATCCTTCATTACCACAATTTTTTGTTACCCTCATCACCTTGCACTATGTTCTCTTTTAATTTCCTTCTTTTACATACCCTCCCGAATTCATCCACCAACCTCTGCAACTTCTCTTCAGAATCTCCCAAAAGCACATTGTCATCAGCAAAAAGCAACTGTGACAACTCCCACTCTCTGTTAGATTCTTTATTTTGTAATCCACATCTCTCCCCAAAACCCCTGCATTTACTTCTCTTACAACCTCATCTATAAATACATGTATATTAAACAACCATGGTGACATCATGCATCCCTGTATAAAGCCTACTTTTACTGGGAAATGTGCTCTTCTCCCTCCTACATACTTTTACCTACCTAACTACCCCTCAAAAAAACCCTTAAAACCTGCTTTCATAACCAACCCCTTTTTCCCAAAAACTTTTTGAAACCCATTTTCACTTTTTTTCCCCCTAGCCCCCCCCACATATGTTTTTTTCAAAAATCAAAAAACAATTATTGCCCCAAATTTTTATAAAAGTAAAAATAATAATAATACATAAAACCCTTCTACTTGCGAGCTTTTCCCACGTGCGAGTTTTTTTTTCCAAATACGAGCAGTCAAGGGGTCGTTTTTTTGGTTTCCATACCCCGAGAAAAATTTTTCCACAACCCGAAAAGACCTAAAGGGCCGGTTCCTTAAACACGGTGAGGGGCCTTGCTTTGACGGGGGAATTGAAATCCCATTTGTTTTTTGGGGACTATTTTATTGAAATTTGGGGCCCAAGTATGTTTAAAAGTTTCTTTTTAAAACGTAACCCAAAAAAAGAAAGAAATCTAAGCGAAAATAAGGGGATTCCCTTTCCCCCCCAAAATTTAACCCCATCCTTTAAAGTGGAATTTTTGAATTTTTTTTTATGGTTATTTTTCTCGTTTTTTTTTTTCCCCTTTGATAGAATGGAAGATAAATTACAGAAATAAAAATGATTTTAAATTTGTTTTTCCACAAATGAAAAGAACTTAAAAATTGAGCTCAACCTGGGAAGAAAGGGTTTCCATTGCTTGGCGTTTCAGTGTAAAAAAATGACGTCACAGTAAATCAAATTTTTTTTTTTGTGTGAAAAAAAAAATTACAAATTTTTTTATATAATAAAATGAAAAATGATAATAAAAAAAATAAAAAAATAATAAAATAAAAAATAATAATAATGAAAAAAATTCAAAGCATAAAAAAAGGGATTTCACTTTTTCAAAATTACCACCCCCTTAAAGGGGAAATTTTTCAAAGGGTTTTTTAATGGTTGTAAACCTTTTTTTTTTGTCTCATTTGATAGAATGGAAGATATATTCAGAAATAGATATAAATTTTTTTGTTTTCCCCCCCAAAAAAGTCCCTTGAAATTGAGCTCAATTTAAAAAATGGTCCATTGTTTTTGGTGGTTTTCGGGAGTAAACAAATGGTCACTGCCTTTTCCAAAAATGCGGGCCCGTGAATGGGTTGAAAATATTTATACAAAAATTTGCAATAAGGAATAACAGAAAAATCTTATATTTTTTGTGTGAAAAAAAATTTTAAAAAAAAATTTTTAAAAAAATAATAATAAAAATTTAATAAAAAATAATATAATAATAAAATTATTTTATAATAATAATATGAATAAAACAAAAAATTTAAAAAATAATAAATATTTATAATAATAATAATAATAAAAAAAAAATTGTACAAAAATAAAATTTAAAAAATAATAATAGAGGGCTAAAAAGGCCGTCACTAAGGGCATTTTTTTACCACAACAAAAAGGGAGGGTTTTTGGCCCGCCTCCACCGGTTTACATAATGACAAAAAAAATTTTTATTCATTCTAGAATATATAACATTTTTCGTGTTTTTTTTATTTTTGTCTGTTATGTCATATTTGATGAATTGTGATATATAAATATCCCGTATAAATAAAATTTTAGTGAAATTTTTCCCATAAAGTATTTTCCCAGTGCCCCAGGACAAACTCTCGTCCCCCCTGACCCCCGGGGGCCCAAATTCCCAAATACATAAATAACATATTTTATTCATTCTAGAAAACATATCTGTTTTCTGTGTTATTAAATTGTTTTTTATGCCCATACTAAAAAAAAACCTGTGATAGAAAAATTTTTAAGCCGAATAAAAATGATATTAAAAAATTATTCAGGAAGTTTTTTGCCCGGTGTCCAGACAAACTCTCGTCCCCCGCCGACACCCCCCATACCCAACATAAATTTAACATATTTTTTTCTTTTTAATATATATCGGGTTTTTCTTATTGTTTTTTAATATTGTTTATTAGTCAAAATTAGATGAAGTGGGGATAGTTTAAAATAAGCCTTAGAGTTGAAAATTGGGGCGAAAAAAAGGGGGGTTTACAGAATTCCACTGGAATGGATTGTTTGCATTTAAATTTAAATTTTAAAATGGGGAAAAATTGACTCTGCAAAAGCAAATCCATTGCGAGCGGGGGTCATGGAAGGATTAAATCGCAAGTAGGGGGTTCCACGTAATAAAAATTAATTTTTTATTTCTCCCAATTTAAAAGTAAAAAGGTATAGGGGGCCTAGCTGCCTCAATGAATACAGTGGACCCCCACTAACGAACCATCATTTAACGTTAAATCCAGCAAACGAAAAATTTTAAACGAAAAAAATTTTGCCTCACAAAAACACAAAAAAACTCCCCCCAACCGTTTTCTTCGAGACCGGCCACTGTGGCCTGAGTGCGCCTCATTGCCCCCGTGGGTCCCCAGTGTTTACAAGCCAGCCAGTGTGGTCGCATCCCCCGCATACAATCGAACATTTCATAATTTTTTCACAGCTTTTTTTAGTGTTTGGTATTTTCAAAAAAGGTCACCAGGGGCCCCGAAGAAAGCTTCTAGTGCCAACCCGGGATAAAAAGGGTGAGAAAAAAGTATAGAAATTAAAAAGATTTTAAAGGGTTTGGGGGCAAACCCTGAAAAACCCTATGCCATTTTGTGAAATTTCCATTGTTCCTATTTTTCAAAGATTAAGGAAAGGGTTTCAAAGTGGGGTTTTGAACTGAAAAATTTTTATGGATGAAAATCACCCTAAAAACAGCTTTTCAATCATGCTGGTGACTTTTAAACAATGAAATGTTGGGGCCCCCTTTTGGGTAATTTTAAAAGGAACTGGGGGTAAAAACCTCTATAGACAGTTTTTGTTGTTTTAAACGGGAATCCAGGGGACTCTCAACCCTGGTCCTAGTGGCATTAAAAGAAAAAATGGAAGTAACCCCGGAAAAGGACTTGATACCTCAAGTCCAAAGGGAAGGGGAAATTCCCCTTCAAAACCCTTTAATAATTCCACTTTTTTTTCCCCCCCTCCTCCCACCCATCAACCCATCACCAATCTTCAATAAAGGTAAGTGTCATTTTTGTGTGTTTTAAAATTAATATTTCAGGGGTGGAAAAAATTTTTTTTTTTTTCATACTTTGGGGTGTTTTGAAAGGGTTTAAATTTGGGTTTTCCAAATATATCTTTTTGGGAAAATTTTTAATTCAGTAACGAAAAATTCAGTAAAAA